ATGTCTGATCATCTGCTCCTCACTGTCCATACTCCCCACCATCCACAATTCCCCACACTGGAAGTGATCTGTCGGTTCTCTCTTCTGCTAACTCACTGCACAATGGGCTCTGAGGCAATAGAGAATCTCTATGGTGCTTATGAGCATAGGATCTGGATTCAAATTGTGGCTGTGATACTTCCCAGCTATGTGATCTATCAAGGTAGTTAACCTGATTGAGCCTAAGTTTTCTCCTCTGTCAAATGGGTATAAATAATCACAACAAGTCATAGGATTATAATGAGGATTGTATTGTTATCTGTGCTTCCTCTAAGGCACTTACCATCTCCTACTCTGTTGATATTTTATCTCCTTCCAGACTGGGAGTTCCTGAAAGGCAGGAAGGGAATCACATCTTGCCTGTGTCTTTGACATATGGGATCTGCTGCAAAAGCTCCTTTAAGGGAAGGGATTCCACACAATTTAACTGGTGACATGAGTGCAGGCTCATTCCTAGTGGAAGGTTCCAGTCACACAGTGCCAGGCCTGGCTGGAAGCTTTGAGGTATGGAGCTTTGGACACACGCAGTACTTGCTGGATAGGCCTCTGGCTCCTGCCACTTCAGTGACAGGAAAGAGGCTAGATTAGAGCCTATGTTCAGCCGGTTCTTCCCATTTGCCAAGTTGGGCAGTGCTGGCATTTCCTTAAGCCTCAAGGTAGAGTGGAAATCCTGTTTGGAACATGATACTTAGTTTCTTTCCTGGGTCTTCCATGGGTGAGACTTCTAGATGAGAGGAAAGGGTCCATGGAGTTGCGGGTTTGGGACACTTGGGATAACTCTGAGAGCCACTTACTCTTCTGACTTCTCTGTAGGTGGGGCCTTTCAGAGGAAGCTCCTTTAAAAACTTCCGCCATTGCTATGCTTGAGCGCTGACCATGGAAAAGCAATTCCATTCTTAAAAAGATAGTACTACCATTTAACTTTCTCTTGAGTCATTTCTCAAAGTGCCATATCCGTGAGTCTCAAGATCCAAGTATTTTAGCCTGGCGCACAGGTCCTCCATGTTCTGGCCGCAACATTCTTTTCCATCCTCATGTCCTGCTGCATCCCTCCATGTGCGCTGCCACTGGCCTCATCAGATTAGTCACTTTCCCCAAGAACTCCCTGAACTTGTCCTCCTTAAGGCCTTAGCACATCGTGTTCTCTGGGCCTATTTCCTCCCCCTCATACATGGAAATCCTCTTGGGTGTTCAGGCTCAGTTTAGAAGTCATCTGCAGAGCTCTTCCAGACCCTCCAAACAACATTGCATGTACTTGTGCTTTGCACACTTTTCTTTTTGTTGTGTGTATTCAAGCAGGTCTCCAGTTAGGTTATGAGCTCTTTGAGAGCTCAAAGCATGCCTAAGTGCCTACACCTGCTAGGTCCATGCACTGTGCCTTCCTAAGGACAAGAGGTGCTAGCAGGCGTCTGTTTTGTGCACCTCTGAATGCGGGGCACATGACATCCTGTTAGCTAACACTTGCATCTGAGTGGTGTTCAGAAGCACATACTATAGTTATTGGTGATTTGTTTCATCGTGAGCCCAGTTATTTGAATTCCTTCTTTGAATTGGCCTGATATCAACTCATTGGTAACCTTTCTCAGGCCTGTTTTCCTATATACTGGGCAGATGTCTGCTTAGAGCCTGGGCTCTGAGCTTACTTCATTTAAGAACATAACAGGAAGGTAGAATTCAGGAGGGATCTATCTGCTTCTAATATTAACTTTTTTTTTTTTTTTGGTTTGAAAGTTAAGCTTTTACTTTTTTATCCCAAAGCTCCTCCTCGAAATGTAAAAATAGCAGAAGAGTTTTTTTGTTTTTTGTTTTTTAGGTATATGTAGTAGAATAGCTGTACATAGTAAGGTTGTAAGTGCAAAGTAATACAACCTGTGTCATGGAGCTTTATTTAGAAGACCAGGGTTCAAGTACTGGCTTTACCATTTCCTACTCTTCAAAGACTAGGGTTCAAGTACTGGCTTTCATGTTCCCTAGTCCTGAAACCTTGCCTAATCTCCCTGACCTTAGTTTCCCCAATGGATAATTGGGAAATCTTTTTTGTAAGGTTGGTGGACAGGTTAAATGAGGTTCTGGACATTAAATTGGAATTTTTTTTTTCTGCTGTACAGTTCATAAACTGGGTTTGAAGGCCATTTTAAAATAGTTCCCCAAGGTTTTCCTTTGAAGGAAAATGCTTGGATGTTTGTTTTCATGCACTTGTTTTATTTTATTTTCTTGAATGAAAAAGAAATTAATTTATAGTCAGGGGATATATGGCCTCTAACACACTTAGGGAACATACATGGCTTGTAAGACTCAGTTATAGTTCATATAATTAGAATGGCAGAAACATATGCTTTGACACATTATAAAAACTTTAGCAGTCAAGGTTCTAATGCAGACTTTGTGCCGGCTCCGTGCTGTGCATGCTGGATATAGAATCCCAGGACATGATTACAATCTCCCTGATGGGTAATAGCCCCATTTTGCAGACAGGGAAGCTCGAGCTTAGAGAAAGTAGAACTTACATAAATCCAATATCAAGCTTTGAACTTCATCCTGAACTTACAATGACCTCCAGAAATCCTTTCTATCTACAGATGTGACAAGTCCTGCTTGACTTTGTTTATCCTTTATTCTCTCACTCCAGGGGCAGGCCCTCATTCCAGGCTGGATAAAGCAGTGGACATCGGCAGTCTCAATGTCTCATACTTGATTAATGAAGCTAGATGAGTGTCTTGACTTTTCCTTCAAAGAATCTGCTCATTTTGAACTCCTTTGAATGCACTCATTCATCAGCCTTTACTTCTTTTTTTTCTCTCTTTTTTAGAAGATATTTGCCTTTCTCCACCTCTGCTTTTGAGGTCAGGAGTGTTTGAAGAGGACTTTGTATTTTCTTTTATGGGTGGAAAATTCATTGAATATTTCCCATCATCTCCTCCAACCATGTGGTGGTGGGAAGAGAAGGCACAGGGTTGGGAGTTAGGAGCCATGGTTCTCATCTTGATTCTGTCACTGACCAGTGAGAGAACTTTGAGTCAACCCTTCCTTTTCCTGTTAGGGGTCTCAGTGTCTTCATCTGTAAAAATGACGGTACTACAAGATGACTCCTAAGATTTAAAATTTCTGCATGATTTATGGTGTCAAAACCATCAATTTTGCTGAGCGGCCTAATTCTGCAGCTGTTTCTTTGATACTTTTCAATCTTTAGATTTAATCTATTCAACAATATATAATTTTTTAAAGGGAAGCTTTTATAGACACTTCTGAAATATAAGGGTGGTGGTGGGGATAAATGGATGTTAAAAAATAGAAAACAACCAATTAAATAGTATATAGCATGTAATTCTCCTTGGAAACTTACCACGAAATTGAGGAGCACTTTAACAACTGGTAATTTAAATTGCATTTGAACTCTGTTAATGGTTTGTTTGCATGAGAACTTCAATCATTTCACAGCCCTTCTTTAGCAAAGCTACTTGTTCTCATTATGGAAAAAAAATATTAAAAGAGAAGTTGACTATGGAAAAGTGAGGCCACTTTCATTTGTGCATTTGAGGGAAGCTGGCAAGTGTATGAGAGGTTGCCTGAGGGCCAAGGTTGGAGAGCCTTGCCTTTCAGGGAATAGAAATCTGGGAAGTCAGACACCCGTTGTGGCAGTTGTAGAAACTGCTCTGATTTATATTTCCCTCTGCAAGGAGAAGCTTAGGTATCTTGGGCCTTGTGGATGGAGGCTGTCTTTTGTTTTCTGTATGACCGTGCTGTCCACAGGTCCAGTACTGGCCTCCTCATTCTTCATTCCTCAGCAAGTTTGAAATTATCCCTTTCTCTCATTTCAGTGGAATGGCTTTGAGAATTCTAATGGTCTTGAAAACCACTAGTTCTCAGGAAACTCATTGCTGTGCTGGGCTCATCTTGATTACTAGTATGCTGTTGTCTAACTTAATTCTTTCTGCTGTCGGGCTGTACTCTGAGAGCTTTGAAGCAGGTGTTCAGAGACTTGAGTATGGGACTCGGAATTGTGCTCCAAAGCCTATTATGTGACCAATGGACAGTCCCTTTGCCCAATGAGTCTCCCTATCCTCTGTCAAAGTGGCGGTCACTGGGTCTAGTGGACAAGCCCTGGACTGGAGCCCTGGATTGTCTGGCACTCGTGGTGGGGTCCTGTAGTGGCCACCTCCTTGCTCTGGCCCCAGCTTCTCTTCCTGTCAGTGGGAGAGTTGATGTGGGTTATTTTATTAAGACCCTGCAACTTTGATCTTATATAGATATTTGAAGACTGAATGAGAAAATATACATGAAACAATTGTATGATTGATTTAATAATATCTAAAATGATGACAATGAAAATAGGATTAGTAGTTTTTCTAGTATGTGGATCTCTCCTGCATATAAAAGACACATTTAAAGCAGCCAGCTGCTTCGGCATCTGTGTGTGTTGGAATATATATTGCATCATTCTTAGCAAATAGTAATAGCTCTTAATTAAATGAAACCTGTAATGAGGATTTCCTGGCAAGTGTCAAGATTGTCTAGCTCTCTGCTATTCACTTGCTCTTACTTTTCAGGCAAGGTTCAGAGGGCTTGCTTGCTCCTATAGTTAGAAATGTGTCTCCAAACTCATATTCCTTGTTTCTTTTTATTTGTTGTAGTTCAGATTTTGCTATTAACTTTTTTCTTGCCTACGTAACATGTATCTAACTAATTGATCTGTCTCTTTCATCTGTGATATTACCATGAAGCTATTTTCCTAGGAGAGCTGAGGATGAACACTGGGGGACTGGCATTCTCTTTCTCCACCTTTCTGAGACAAATTAGTGAAATACAAATGCCAGGAGCTTAGGAAGAATAGAAGTGAGCCACTAGATTTGTGGGTTTCAAGCCTGGCATCCTTCTCACTATTGCCTGGTCAGTGAGTTCATAAACCCGAAGTTCTAAAGCTGCTAAGATCCTAGAAATTCATGCGCAACCTTCTTCTCCAGTTTTCCATAGGTGGGATCACTGAGGCTCAGCAACAGAACTGAAGACGGAATCCACTCACCTGATTCTCAGTTTAGGGCTTTTCCTAAACTGAACACTCATTGGAGGGAAGAGATTTCTTCTTCAATTGGTAAGTCCTATGCAGAAAAGAAGACTTTTCCTTTTTATAATCAATGTGCATGTTTTAAAAATCAGTGTTTTCCATTTAAGGAAAGCATGACACTAATAATTAACATGGACGAAGAACTAGAGGAGAACCAAAATGTTCTTTCTTTTTTTCTTAAGCTAATTTCATTGGCAATGGATGGAATATAATAATGCTAATAAAATGTGTGGCAAAGAAAAGGCAGGACTCAGCTCTTAGCAGTTGGCTTGAAGAGAGACTGGAAGAAAATTTGGAGAAATGATGATTTCCGGTGGCTGATAATTATATTGCTTCCTTCTTTCTCCTTTGGCATGGAGGAAAGTGTTCTTGAAATTGAAAGACCAAAATGAAAATGTCAATGACCAGTTTTATGGACATTTGTGATGAAAGAAAGTAATATTGAGTGTTGTTTTTTTTAAAACCCCTTTATATGGTGCTTCTTCTGTGATTTCATCTTATTTTCACAACAATCCGTTCAGGTAGGGGAGGCTAACTTTGCTTAAGCAAAAGGTTGAACACTATTTGTTAAAGGGTCTGAGTTCGAATCCTGTTGCACATTCAGAAAGGGTACTGGTGACCAGGTAAAGTAAGATTTCCCTTGTGTTTTGGAATTCCTCTGTGTTTAGAGGGTAGAATAGAACATCATGTTCTAGAAAAGAGGGGTGGTAGGAAGAATTAATACTGTGGGCTACCCTGGGCTGTGGGGAGACTTGAGGCAAGTAGCTGGGGAATTCTGGGACAGGCTTCTATTTAGAATTCTAGATCTGTGGTCTCCATCTTGAGGGCCAGTCTGTCTGTGCCCCAACCACTGACTTTATACTGACTACATAATATGGCTTACCATGCTTATGATGTAGTTTTTCCAAACAAAGCAGATGCTGTTGTGATTGAGAAAACCTAACTTTATTTAAAAGTGTGGCTCAGTTTACAGTTACATTTCATTGCCCTTTTTTTCTTCATCAATGTATGTTAAAAGAACAACAGACTTTCTACGCCTATGGATCTGCATAAGATAAAAGGCTGGAAACCATGGCTTTGACTTTTAAAGAGTGTAGCCTGTTAAAATTTCAAGCATGATTTTGAATGCTTTATCCCAAGCATACTTTTTAAGCATCCAATGTGGATCTTTGTTACCTGTTCTACTTTCTGAAATTTTTTTCAGTGTTAGAAATTAAATTGTGATGAATATGAAGCCTTGCATTTGGATAAAAAAAAAAACCTAGTTTGCAATGTTAGAGTGGGAGAGAGTACCTAAACAGGAGTGAGCTGAAAGAGACAAAAGGAATTTTTGTTGTCTGTAAGCTAATTTATGAGCCAACAGTGGCTTTTGTCCTCACTGATGCAGCCTTAAGCTGCATTGAACAGAGTGTTATCTAGAATCAAGTGTGTGTGTGTGTGTCGGGGAGGGTTCCCTGCTGGAAGCCAGGAAGTTTAGAGGTGATGTGGGCATCAGGCCTAGTTTGAGCAGGCACAGTTGTATCTATGCTGTGCTCCTTGTTCTTCCCTCTTCTATGTGTTGGCTTCATTGTCAGGATGTTTCACCTCATGGTCAGGAGATGGCTGCTCACTTGCCATTTGGGGAAAGAGAGCCCTGTTTGCCATATCCCCATAGACTTGGGTAACTGCATACCTCTGCACCAGTCACTGAGGCCACAAGGAGGACACTGTGCTAATTGGCATGTATGACCTGAGGCTCTGCTCTGAATACTAAAACAATACCTCCCCGACCTCATGGCAGCTACACAGTGCTATGTGGTGGTCCCTCAAAAGAACATCTGGGTGCTATTAGGAAGGGGAGAGAGGACTAAAGCTATGTGAGTGACTATCAACCTCCATTTAGAGCTCCCCTAGAGTGTCAGACTTTAGTCCTCACCTCATCCTCTGAAAGGGACTTGAGCCAACGGGACTGTCTTCACGAGGATGCTGAGAGGACCGGAAGTGATATCCCACCAGGAACTGTTACAGGAATGAGAGCCTGGAGAACTTTATGGCTTTAAGGCTAGAAAACCCAGTCAAATGAGAGACAGCATCTCTGGTTCATGAGTTTTCCCCAGAGTCTTGTGGGATGTCTGGCACATGGTCGGTGCACAATGCATTTTCATGGAGAGAAAGAAGAAATCCAAAGGCAGTGAGTGTTCCTTTCCCTATGGGTGGTCCCTCAGGCACTGGCCAGTTCTCTGTTGGAGTATTTTAGGAGTTCTAGCACAGATGAGGCTGGACTGCATGGTTTTATGAGGGTGAAGAAATGACTGGACAGAAAAAGGCTTTTGGGACCAGTATGGCTTAAAAAAGTTTGTGAGTTCATAAAAAGGCAACAAATATGATGGGATGGGGTATCAGAAGGTCTTACAATGATTAGATGTGCAACCCTAAAAGAACAAGGTCCCTCTGCCTTCGTTTCCCTGATCTGAGAATTAGGAATAATAATCATTGCCCTGTCTACCTCTCATGTTTGTTTAGATCAAATGGGTCGATAGATACTAACCTGTTTTGCAAACTATAAAGTGTGGCCCATACAAGACAGGTTATTACATTTGTTTCATTCTTTAGTGTAAAGACTCCTCTTGAACATACAGAAAAATAAGATGATCTAACGTGTAGCCCCCAGTGCCCTACCTGGTACATAGGACATGCTCAATGCATGTCCTTTTGTCTAACCCTGCACCATCATCACCAAGGTTGGATAGGCACTGATGTGTTCTCAGTATTGGAAAGGAGTTAGATCTGCAATTTTGCTCAATGATGGCGGTTGATATTGACATGAAATAGTGTGTTATTATTACTTTCCATATTTATTTTTGTTCTAGACAGTAGGTGGTGGAACAAGGTAGATCAGAGATGAAGCATCAGTGCTTGAGAAAAACCCTAGAAACTACAGTCTAACTGGTTGGCTCTTGCTTTGTTTGATTAGCTAATCACACCTTCTGCTCCAGGCGTGACTGGCCCAGTGGGAGTCAGGAAGGAAATTATTTTCCTCTGTTGATACTAGTGTATAATTGTTGACGGTAGCCAAGGGCTTTCAGTTTTAATATTTCCTCTTTGGTTCTCAGAATAATCAGGTAGTAGTCTCTGCTGGAAGCAAAACATTGGTCACTACCACTTGACTTTGAGAGGTGAATGTCTTGGCTCCCTACAATTACTTGGTCAGGTGGTTTTTGGGCATGTGTGACCATCTGCTTGGTCACCTTTTGCTGTTTCTATGTTATTGCTTAAAAAATTGCAAAAGGACTTGCTGGGTCTGAGCAGGGAACCATTCAGCCTCCTGAGACTTTTTGTTCTTCTCTAGCCCAGGGATGTCTTGTATGAGGTGTTTGCTGTCCATGAAAGTAAAAGGAAGAGCTCTCTTTCTTGCTTTCTGCCTTTTAATTTCACATTCTTCTATTTCCTGACCTGAGGAGAGTGCAGACACCTGTACTTTGAGGAGGGCTGTGGAGGTCAGAGGAATTTTCATTAGGTTACTGTGCAATAGAAAGGGTCTGATGCTGAATGGATGGAGAGCCTCAAGAGTCCTTTGTAGATTGCTGCCAAGTATCTACCCATGTTCACAGCAAGTATGCTTGTTCTCTGCCCTGATCTCCGTGTTTGTCTGGAAGTCAGTGAACCTCAGGACATCACAGTGAAATAGGCACAGTCCCTGACCTCAAGAAGCTTACAGTCTAGTTAGAGAGAAAGACGGTGAAATATACCTTAGAGAAGTATTGTTTATAACACACATTCAGGAATCACCACGTATGTTTCAGGCCTCACATTAGGTGCTTGGAAAATCAAGGTAAGTGATTTATAGGCTCGGATCTCGTGGGGCTTATGTGAAAGGTTGGGAGAGTCGAAATAATTGAGACCATTGGGAAAGGTTTTCAGGAGGAGGGAATCTGCTCTCAGAAGTTCTCAGTGAGCCATGGAGCCTTATGACATAAGCCCAGGGGGTTGGCAAGTTGGGCCTGTGGCTATAGTTTGGCTCACTAGGGCTGAGCAGATTCTAAGGATGGATTTATTGGATAGCAGAATACAGCTGGGCAGGAAGGAGTCTCTCATCTTGCATGTGTGGTTCTGGCTCTAGTTCATTCTGACCAATGGACTGTAGCTGGATGTGTCTGTTGACTTTGAACTGCACTGACATTTCCATGGCCACCTCCACGTGGCCAGAGCATGCTTGCATCTGTGTTTCTAAACTAGACAGCATCTCTGCATTCTGGGGCACAAAGGTTCCTTTTTGAGAGTTTTGACAGTGAATCTTTTATAGTCTACTTCCCAGGCCTCATGAGAAGTGGTGGAGTTGGTAGGGGCCATTAAAATAATCTCAAACTTGGATACTGTCTTTATTACCTATTGATGCATAACAAATTACCCCAAATTTAGCACCTTAAAACAAAAAAAACAACACTTATTATCTCACAGTTTCTGTGTCAGGAATCGGAACAGCTTAGATGGGTGCCTCAAGGTGTCTCTCAGAGGTTGCAGTCTGGGTGTCTGCTGGACTTACAGTCTCTTTCGAAGGCTCAATGAGGAAGGGGGTGGAGGGATGCATACCAAACTGATAGGACTGTGGGCAAGATTCAGATACTCACTGGTTGTTGGACTTTGGGCCTCAGTCACTGATAGTTGGCTGGAGGCCACCTTCAGTTTCTTGCCATGTGGGCCTCCCCATAGGGCAGCTCTCAACATGGCAGCTGGCTTCCCTCAGAGTGAGTGAGCAAGGCATGCAAGCCAAAACCTTTTGTAATCTAATCCTGGAAGTGACACATTGTTCCCTGTGCCTCATTCTATTTGCTAGAAGCAAGTCAGTCAATCCAGCCCACCCACACTCAAGGAGAGTGATTGCACAAGGGTATGAGTAGCAGGTGTGCATTTATATGGGGCCAGCTTAGGAGCTGCCTAGGTTACGGTCATGCGCTAAGGTGAGTGTAGGAGTTCCATGGAACCACTGAATGAACTCAGCACACCTCTGCGAATCAATTGCACTTGAAGACTTTTGGATGAAACTCCAT